TTAACATTCAACCATTGTCACCATCTTCGTCAAAAATCCATAAAGAAGGAGAAGCGGTAGATGAAGAAAAACAAACATACAATACTTCGTTTCCGTACACTACGGCAACTTTTTATCGCACAGACTTACTATATAATTACTTGCATATATACGATTGCGATATGAAAATGGAGAAAAAAAAAAAAAAAAAAAAAAAAAAAAAAAAGAAATACCAAAGCAAATATTAATGTTTCCATCACTATTTCCAATCGTACGCTGAATAATTGTTTTCGATTATCTATGAAAGTATGATTGATAATTTAATGTACATTGTCTCGAGTAGATCGATCGGCGAAATCGGTTAACTGTCGCGGTGACAACGAAACTGACGTGCTTACTGGATTTTCGGCAACAATCCACAATTTACTCGTACCCCACTTGAATTCTTTAGTCTACGGATGCTACTATGGATGGTTTTGCGGCAATTACTGTCAGTATAGCTCAACTATTATTTGTGCGAGGAACATTGAGTTATTGATTTACAATAAGAAATGACGGACAAAGAGAAATTAATCCCGTAAGTAAATATTGACACTGTGCATCTTTAGCTATTCTTATAAGTATCAAGGATCGGCCATTGTGTTACGCTTCTTCATATCTTATATTATAAGTTATCAGTAAAATTCGCATATGATTATACAAACGTATTGCGCAAACAATTACGTGTATCGTGATTATTTCTATTAACATTTGGTTAGATGCACAATTCCTTTATATTTCAAATGCAAGTAATACGAGGTAAATAGCGACGATAAATAAGTCAGATATTAATTTGGCTATCAAATTTTCCTATCGATTTAAGCAAATTATCTTTATCAATTTTGAACAATTAATTCTTCAAATTCATTTTCTATTATCTGGAGAGGCGATATTTACTATTTTTATTACGCAAAATATTAATACAAGCATTTATTAATTATTGGAATTTATAATGCAAATTTATTTCAATGAAAATATTAATTTTTAATATTTGTTTTAAATTAAGCTCCAATTATAAGTTGTATCAATCTAAAGTATAATAATTCTATGAAGCGCGCAGTAATTAATTAAATTTGGCTAATTAATGTCATCGATTGTAAATCTGTTTTTATCTGAATTGAACGTTTAGGTAATATAATATCAGAGACAAATTTAAATAATTAGAAACATTGAAATTTGTTATATTACGTATGAATTAAAATTTTTATGAAGATTATAATTGAATTATATCTTAGTAATCATAAATGTTTCTTTCAATGTTCCTGAGTTTCGATGTTCTATTAACTTAACTAGAAAATAAAAATGGCACAATTAATCAAATAATTATGAATTTTTATAAAATTATGTAAATGAAATGATTTAAGTGATGATGTACGTAGATAATATTTATATTTAATCGCAATAATAGTGAAAACGATGAAAATATAAATACATAATCATTAGCAATTATAAATTGTACATTAGATATGAGAGAGTTACAAATTAAAATTTTTAAAAGATAAATATAAATGAGCCAATTGGCGTAAAATCAATAGGAATAAGTAAGATTAATAAATAATTAAATTCACGAACAATCGGAATCACGACTAATGGTAGATAAAATACGAAATCAGACGAAAGAAAAAAAAAGTAAATGTAATTTAATGTATGAAAGAATAGAGATGATAAACATTTAAAAGGTAATTATTATCGTACATAAATATTTCTCTATTATCGTAAATCCAAATATTTATGAATAAACACGTTCTACGATGTGAGCAAATAATGCAGAAAATTCAAACATTATGCAATTATCACGCTTTGCTATATTATGTTACATTACTCGAAGTAACAATTCAATTACAGCAAAGTTTTTCAAACTATTTTCTCACAATTAAGCCTGACATTAGAAAATAAGATAAGACTAATTCTTTACAATATAAAATGACTTAGAAGTATGTATTGAAATTAGCAAATTTAATTTAATATCTTGTGAATTAAAATAAATGTTCAAATATGCTTTCTAAATTTATATATATATATATATAATTTTTATGAAATTTCGAAGAAAAATTTAGTCTTTCTTATTTAATACATAAAAAATTTTTTTTCAACCAAAAGCCAATATTTATTTCGCAAAATTATCATTCAAAATATGAAAATTTATCGATAAAATTACGCGAAAAAAAATTATGAATATATTATCTACACAAATACTACGATATTTTAATATCATAGTATTGAACATAATTCTTATTAATATAATAATATAATATAAGAACAAAAAGAGTAGGGGTAATATTAATTACTATATCATTTAAATATGATAACCAGCACTTATCAAAGAATTACTTTTTAATTCCTTTATATAATGTATTACATTTTAAAATTAAAATTATTATTTATTATTATTATTTACGTTAATTTTGTCACTTAGAATTGCATTTCCATATTAGAAATAATACTGTTTAGAATAATCAACATTTTGCAAGCGATTCAACCAAATTGAATAACATAAAGTTTTCTAAAAGTATAAAATAGCCCCGTCTGTACGCACATTATTCGCTCGAATGAGTTTTCGCGCCTCAAAATACTATAAAACAAGCTTGTGTGGTTAATATGTAGAGGGTGGTTTGTGAATCCGAAGATTCTAATGAATAATTTACAAATTATGTTCAAGCTCATTAGCTCTTTTTTTCTCTCTTCTATAAATAGCATAAACGAACATTAACATGGATAAAGCTTCTGTTTATAAATTACGAGTGCTCTTGTGCGATAAAATCCATTTAAGTATCGTCGCAGTGAGCTCGAGGCAATGGCTTATAAACTTATGTATGCAGCGCAACTCCGCTTTTATGGTAAGGACGATGCAAGCGATGCGTGCCAAATTCGAAGGTCGTAACGCGTCGTAACGCCTTCCCATTACACCCTCATCTCGCGCGGGAGATTGATATGTGGAAGGAGACAAGGGGGACCCTGGATATGGAGGAACGTGGAAGATGAACAGTGTTGGGGTGCCCTGACGAAATGCGCTACAATTGTATTCGGCCGTAGGATATTTGGATAAATGGCGAGTACACCAACTTGGGTGGCTGAAACTATATACACCGAATAAATTGGAGAGTAATCCTTTGCAGCGTGAATATGAAAATAATATAAATTATCTTGAATGAGTTTCATAAGTTATGGGTCATATTGAAATTTTATTGCCAATTTTAATGAATTTTTAAGTTTACCGTCAAGATAAACTATGCTTTTCGTCAATTTGTTCAAAACGAAAAATCATACGTATCGTCGTTGATTATCGGTAAACCGAAGCAGCTTAATTATAATTGTTTAAAGAGTTAAATATTTCAAACGAATATCTTACATTGTAATACGAATAATAATATTGACACATTATAGCTACATGTGTATGTGTGCGGAAATGCTCAAATTATTAAGAATATTTTTAAGCGATTGTTTTTTTTTTTTTTTTTTTTTTTTTTTTTTTTTTTTTTTTTTTTACAAATATATATTTCCCGTCAGATATTTCTCGTGTTATTGTTACAAAATATTATAAAAATAAACGATACGTGTCAAAAGCCAAACGAGTATCAATCATTATTAAGCATTCTTAAAAGTCGCTATAATGATCGCATATCATTTTCAACAAAGCATGATAGTTTAAAATAACAATATTTGTAATTGAACATTTTGAACGAATCGAGTTTTCTTGTACGTCGTATTACAATTATTACATGTCACATGATAAAAATCGAATTTCAAATTAAAAGTTTCATTTATATTTAGAAAGATTCAATAAAGTATAATATAGTCAATCCGATAGCGATAACGAGGCAGATAAATGATTAGCGATAATTCATTATTGTTCTACTGACGAGTGTTGCGCGATATTATTCCACTCAGTATTTACGGACAGACAAATTCACTCGACAGAAGGAAATCATCATGCGTGCGCAAGTATTCGTTAAAAAATTTTAAATACTATCGAAATACTTTAAATAAATGATTAATTTCCGCTATTCATTTTTTCTCATTTGCACTTAATTATATTAAAAGCTCATTATTATATTGATATTTTAATTGCATTAGAAATATTATTAGCGTATGGTATGTAGTTGTTTTTTTTTTTTTTTTTTTTTTTTTTTGGAAAGTTTACGATAACGCGTGAATTTATCAAATCATCGCGTAAATAAATACAATACAAATTTTGTGTTTATTAATTCAAATATTAAAGAAATTTTGTGCTATTAATAGAAGTGAAAGGGCGTAAATATTGTTTTATAAATGAAGATTAATATATAATTCATAAAGGCTCATTATATAGTATGAAAGTAATACTTATAATAAGTAATTTAAAGCCTCCGTAGAATCAAAAGTTTTTTGATTCCGAATAAAAATCACAAAATCTATAGCACATTTCAGCATTCATTTTCATTTTTAATTTCCTAATAGAACACTTGAACTTGAAATTCATTGCATTTTAACTGAAATTTATCATGTATAATAATATTCTTGTGATATTGTATATTGATATTGTAGATTGTATATTATTGGATATTGTTAGTATAATGATAATTGTTAGTATTAAAATGAATTCTCATAGAAGTGATAAATCATAGAGTATCGTGTCATAAATATATGATAAAATATCATAAATTCCCATAGAAATTAAATTATATAAGAATGCTTGTTAAAGAGAAAGATGTTATAAAAAAAAAAAAAAAAGAGAAAAAGAAAAAGAAAAAGAAAAAGAAAATATAAAGAATGTATATTTCTGTCGTCTATTGCGTGAAGTTGATTGAATTCATAATATGTGTTGAATCGAAGATGAAAAAATATAAAAATTTTAATATTCTTACTCGAGAAATGGCAGAACTACAAGTTTAAATATTCATCGCTAACTAACCTAAAATTAATATTTAATTTATTAATTACAAATGTAATTAAACGATGAAAAATTGGGATGGGATGGGGAGGGAGGGAAGTAATACCGATGCCCAATGAGGGCTGAAATCGAAAGAGAAAAAAAATTTGTCTAAAAAGCCGATAGCGAGAAGGCGATTACGCAATGGAGAGGTGCGAACGGATCATAAAGGAAAAGCAGCGCGATATTATCATTTACGTAAAAGCTACCTCGTCGATATATTGTCAAATACGACTCTAAGAAATCCCTAGCGCGATTACATTCTTGAACTTGCGTCATCATCGGCCACTAATCATCGAACTTCCAATTTGCCTGGCCGATAAAAGCCGAGCGAGGGCCGCTTCTTGATCGTGAAATGGGGCGCGGGTGCGCGGGTGCAACGGGAACGAGGCCAATTAAAAGATGAATCAATCGCAGATCCCATTGGCCCGTCGACGAGAGGTCAAGGCTCCTAGGCGACAAGCTGTTACCACCGCGCGCTTCCGCCATCGGTGGAAGAGAGACCACGAGATCTGGCCATGATGCACCCAACGACGCCGCCGACTTTATCACGTACGATAGTTGCGCTTACAGGTAATGCGACACGCGACAGGCGTCCTTCTTTTTTTCTATTTTTATTATGCCAGCCACCGGCCGAGTCATTATAATCGCAAGCTCTCGTTCCTGCTTCTTGACCGGCCGGATGCCCGTATTCGTCCTTCTATCGGCTGCCGATCACTGTACTTTATTTACTTATTTGCCCGTGCCTATTCCCTTTGCCTTCGTAAGCACTATATCAGCCTTACGCGGCCGTCGAGGTATGGTCGCTTGTTAATGATTATCCTTGTGTCGACACAAGGATGCCCAATGAATTGCAATCGCGATGAAAGCTTCGCTTGATCCATAACTAAACGCATCGACATGTTGCATATTTGCGTACCAATGTGAAATATTATCGGAGACCATTACGACTTAATGCTGGAGAATGTAGCTTAATGTAGATTAACTTCAAGCTCTTACTTATAATCAACAAATTCTTATAGAAAATAAATAGTGCGTTATTTTAGTCGTTACTTTATAAAATTAACATCTATTGCTCGTTTATTCAATAGAAAAATGTTATCGAATATAATCAATTATTGATTCGGTATCGATGATATTTGTAGAAATACTTTATAAACTATCATTAAGCACACAACGATTGAAATTATTTATTGAAAAACCAAATATTAATTATTAATTATTTATAATTATTTAATTGATAGATATAGATCATATAAAATATAGCAATAAAAACTGATCAATAAGCATACGCTGGCTTATAACATTCATTGTAGGGATCATTTGCATTAAATATTACAAATTACTTTTGAGTCATTCTTTAACGAAAGTCTTTAAACAAATGTATTGCGAGTCATTTTTCGATGATGACATTAGCTTTCGAATACGTAATCAGCATTTGTCATTATGATTTTTCCTTTTAATACTTTAATCATTAATGTTTATAGTTTTCATTACGTGTTTATATCTGTAGTTTTTTATTTAGTTATATATGAATAGTTTTTATTTAAATTTCTATTTACATTTGAACAAATTATTAAATATATTAGTAATAGAGAAATTATATTTTACTAGTATTAAAAATAATTAAAAAATTTTCTAATGCTATATTAATACTTCGTAAAGTTATGACGATGTATGATATGTTATATATTTTTTAATTATTACAAATTGAAATATAACATAAAAATTAATAGATACGATATTAAAAAAAAAAAAAAAAAAAAAAATTTATCATCGACAAATTTTAATAAAAATAGTTTACAATTAAAATTACACGTTTTAAACTTACTGCAAATGAGCAAAACATGAATTTCAAATGAATTATTAGTTATCGACAATTATTGAACAGGCTACTAAAAAGTAATAATAATTTTCTAATTAAATTTATTACAATAATGATAACAATGATATAATTAGAATAGCCAATATCAAAGTTTGTCGAAATATATATGTGTAACGATTAAGTTCATATTATATAATCCTTTTCATATTAAATTTAATATTAACTTTTTACGCTTTTAATTAATTGGATTATTATATTTTATTAAAAATATCTGTAACTAATAAATTACACGTTTTTGACTTTCTGCAAATTATAAAGAAAAGTTTTATAGTACAATTAATAATATTTCTATTTAAATATACATTCACAAGTACTTAGTTGTGTTTCATTAAATTTTTTGCCTCAAACATTTACGAAATCCCTATAAGTTATTAAATTTCTTTAATTTACTTACGTTGATTGCCGTCATTTAACTTTATTTTTATGATAAGAAGCAATACGTAATAAATTAAAACAATCTATTTTTAATCACATTAAGTACTACTTGGTTTTAAAAAATTTAATCGGATATCGAGAAAAGTTAAGGGGCTAATAGTTTCGAGGATCAATTCTTAAGTATTTTGATTGTTTATCAATTATTTTATCAAAGCCATACTTATAGATACAATGTTATTTTATTACAATTTTTTATTTATAACTTTTAAGACTTTGGTGTAGAAATTATTATGTTCCCAGTTATTTTGATATATAAAATTATAATCTAATAATGACTTATATAATATTCAAAATTAACAATTCTATTATTCCTAACAAATATGACATAAAGAAGATAGTAATATTTTAATTATCTAATGTAGTCGTAAATTTTTAATAAAAATTATACAGTTAGAAAAATAGAATATTTATGATTTCAATTAATTTTTAACATATTCAACATTATAAAATTTAATTAATTATAATTATTTCTCCATTGCCATTATTGCTAATTCGATGTATTCAATTTCATGGAAATACTTTTATTACAAAAATACAATGCAAATGCGTCAATACACATAATGAAATTATGTAAAAATATATTTAAAAATTATAAAAAATAATTATATAAAAATATAAGAAATAAAAGATAAACTGTAATTTGGAAAATTACAATTAAAAGCTTTTATCATGAATTCATGAATTCATGAATTCCTTATATTGGAAGTCTTTTGTAATTTGTTTACCCATAATAATGCATTAATTTCAGGAAATTAAATCAATATTCAACCTTATATTATAATGAACATTTAACAAATTTTGATAACATTAATAAAGGTTATTGATACGAATTAAATTTCATGCAAAAATTTGTTTACTTTTTTCCAAAACAAAGATATACTTTATACTGTTTTGTTTAACCTACGATTTGCCTTATTAGTCTGCATACATTGTTTGCATAATTGTTTATTTGCAAGTTTACATTAATTTAATACTTAAAAATTATTCGTAAAATGTAGAAAATATACAAAAAGTACATTGGTGAAACAAATAATATATGGGATTCTTTAAAATTAAATCTTATTAATATCTTTTAATCGTGAATTATGAATAGAAAGTAATATTGATCGGTTTTATGTCCGTTAGCCGATTTTTTGTTTCATCAAAACAATTAGTATAGTTATTTGTTGAAATCCTTGATATAAGTTTTCAAAATAGTATATTGCGAATGCTATTTCACAATTGTCATTACAAATCATTAATAAAAACATTATATTATGAATTCTTACAGCTACATTCGTTTTAAAAAGTTACATCTTCATACGCAATAAAATATTTTGCTTTTACTATTGATTTGATGTTTGTAGTGAGCTTAACATATATATCTGTTAAGCATGCAATTAAAATAATTGAATAAAAAACTATAAAATTATTTTATTGTATTTTATAACATTTATGTCACAGTTAAATGATCGATTAAACGATCTATTCTATCTGTTGTATAGAAACATCAATATATTTATTTTTTGTTTGATACATCAAGGGAACATATTAGTAAACCATCTTGGTTTTGTAATTTTAATATTACTTTTCAATTATTAATTACAAAAAGAAATTACAAACCTTTTAGTTATTGTACTTCCATTAAAATGGATGAATAAATGGATATGAAATAAAAAGTACAATTTAATAAGAAAGTTTGTATCATGTCATTGTTTGACTTTCAAAAACATTATATTTATTTAAACATAATTTTGTTTTCCTGTTTCGAATTAAAAAAAAAAATTTGTCAAATATAATTTGATTCGACCGAATTCTTTAGTATCTATAATTAAATGAAAAATTGTTGATATTTATCTTTCAAAAAAAAAAAAAAAAAAAAAAAAAAAAAAAAAAAAAAAAAAAAAAAAAAAAAAAAAAAAAAGGGATAGAAGAAAATTGTAACTACACTATTAAGAAAATAGATGGATAATCTTCTCTAATAAGAAGAACGCATTTGGAATAATTCAACTAACAAATAATCTATACAAATAAATATTATATTCAACACTAAATATTTATAAGTTAAATATAATTATTAATAAAAATTATTATACATAAAATTTATAATTCATATTATTGAATTACATTTTACATTTGGAATACAACAGACATTTCATTAAATACTCATTATCTGGTTTATTAGTCACACTTAAAAATCTATTATAAATTGTTATTTTCAATGTTTTTAATAATACACTGTGTAATGTTTAATTACGTTGATAAAGTTACTTTGTAATTTGTTATTCAATCCGAATAATATTCAACATAAATTTTCATAATAAATTGTTAATAAAAAGATGGAGTGAATCATTTACAAATCCAAATATATTACCAATGTATCTTCAATAAAAATTCGGGACCAATTAACATAATAAATGATTTTTATAATAATATAATAATGATAATTAATGAATAAATGATTAAAGTGATATATATTCATATGCAAATGTAATGTAATATTATTGAATATTATTGCATTTCACATTTATTTACATACTGCTTATCAGTAATAATTCACTTATATTTGAAATCCTAATTACGTTTCCCGTGTTTTATATGGTTATATGAAATATTACTAATAAGATTTACAAATAAATATAATTTTCTTTTATGAAATGAATGGAATAAATTTTAGTAGCATACAATGTTAGAAAAATTTTCATAATGTCAGTTAATATAAATTAAATTAGAACGTTATTAGATAATCCGACCTTGATAATTAATATTCTTGCAATTTTCATAAAATATATTTCTATATATTCCTATATTCCTATATATATATATATATATATATATATATATAATAATTATTTTGTAAATTATAAGCCAAGTATATAAAGATAAAATATGAAAATCTTGTAATGTTGAAAAGATGGAATCGAATAAATGACAAAATTTATGTAATTTCATTCGCATGTTAACGAAGGGAATTAAAACGTGCAGCTTTATTTCTGTTTTGACTTTTTTTTTAAATAACGTTCTTTATATATTGGTGTGTGCGCGTGTGTGCGTGCGTGTGTCGGCATATGCCTATGTATTCATAATAATTAATAATATTTTTATTTTATCGATGTTGAAATTTCAAGTTTTTTTTTCTTTTGTTTTATTTATTTTTTTTTTTTTTTTTTTTTTTTTTTAAGTAATTTAATATAAGCTCATAGATTTATTTTTGTCATCACATATAACGAAGCAAATTCAATTATTCGCGTACGAATAATCTTCTCATCCTCGTTTCGCGTCGACAGTTTGCTGTATTACTTTACACGAGCTTACCATCTCTCTTAGCATTTCAAAGTTAACCTTTTCTTTTATATGATCCTCGTACGACTATCATCAATATGCAAAGCATGCAACGCATTCGCCAAATTGACATCGTCGAGATAGTCGCAACCCAACATCGAAAAGTATCGAGAACATCTAACTCGCCAAGCTAATAATGCGCCTCTCAATCCATTAGCCACTTATTCACAAATTCTGCAGTGTATGTAAAATTGCCACTCGCAATTCAATTAACACAGAGAATGGAAATTGGAAAAGAGAATTAAGTTGAATGAAGGTGAATTTAGGGCGCCAGTAGTAGAGACAATTCTAGATCTTGAATTTTGCCCCATCGATCTCAGTCTACTTCACTATCTATCCGGCACACGAAATCGAGACAAAAGTACGTCCGATCGGTTGGTCTACCGACACTCCATCAACGCGCACAAATCCACAGAAGCTGCAGAAGGTAGCTTCAGCTATCACCTGGTCGTTCCAATATTTAGAGTAATCCGCTGTCTCCTGATAGGCGACGATACGGGCGTCTCGACGGCGGCGGTGGCGACGGCGGCGTTGGCGGCGTCTCACATTGATAACGGGCCACACGGTGCCGTAAGCCCTCAGTCGTAAGATGATTGAGGGCCAGGTACATCGGCTTCCGGTACAGCAGCCGTCGGTGTTGGTGGCGCCAATGGCCCCCGTCACTCCCAGCGCCAGTGTCAAGTTCGACAAGTAGCTAACGCCATGTGCACAACATTACGACCTCGTATTTACCGCTCCCGGTGAATCGCATTCCCATTTCCATTAATCGGCCTGCTGAGATAAGACGGCCGTTTTGTGTGCGTCTGTGTCTGTGTGTGCGCGAGCGCCCGGTAATGGGGTGGGGCAGCAGCCGTAAGACACGAGGAGACTGGGAGGGAGGGATTTTCCTTTTGTTTGCCGAGCGCTATGAGGTCGCTTGGCTCGTCGTGCGCGTGATGTTGTCCTCGGTGCGATGGTACATTGGCCGAGTCCGCATGGACGAGTATTCGTGCATTTTGCTTTTGGCCAGCTTTGGCTTCCCTTTGGTTTAGGGGCTGGTCGAAAACCATCGGCGTGCCCTTGTCGAGCGGCGGCTCCTGGCCGATTCTGAAAGACACGTCGGTGTGACTTTGCGCATTACGAACACACGCTCATTTGCAATTCAAAGGCTCTCGATGCTTTTTTCACCTCGAGAATATACTGTCTTTGCACTCGCTGCCTTTTTCCGTTGGATCGGGACAATAAGGAAAAGATAAGATATGATTAATGAAATGTTCCTTCATCGCGAGTATTTTTTCCTTGCGTGTTGACATTAATTCTTAAACGTCAAACGGTAAATACGTCTGGGGAACTTGTGACACGATATCAAATTAAGTTACAAATTCGCTTTCGCGAACCTATGCACACCTGTTGTGCTTCGCGAGCTTTTATTACCAATTCCTACTTACACTTATTCGGCTGCACTCGTCAATTTAGCTATTTTCATCGATTGTGAAAATCTTGTCATTATTCTAATAATTCAAACTTTGTCAACTTAATAATCTCACGAAAAGAGAAGCAATCGATAACTACAATTAAACTAAAATGTATTAGATCATCAATTGTCAAAAGATAGTGATTATATAACTTTATTAGATTCTTAAAATCCTTAAAAAATCCTTATGCATTGCCTGTTTTAATTTAATTTTTTTATAACTTTAACGAAAATCGCACTATTCGATATCTGAAGCTATTGGCTGAACGTTGTTCACGCCTCTTTATCAATTATCCATAGAGTTAAATAAAATTACAGTTTCAAAGAAATTAGAATTTCGACTATTAGCATTATTTTCATTAGCGGGAATTAACAGCAATTTGCTTTTGTTTTGTTTCGGTTTTTTTTTTTTTTTTTTATAAATCTGATAATATACGGTATATATTTACATTCGTATCTTCATTAAAAGATATCCACTGATTAGGTATCAAATTGAATCATAAATAAAGTATATTCTATCGAATTATTACCTTGATCTTTTTCTTCATCTTCTTAAATTAAGCTTTAACGCTCTTATGGCATCGTTTTGATTTAGAGAAGTAAATTTTTATGAAATAAACCAAAAATACATATATTCTGTTTATTTTTTTTTTAAACACATAGTGTGTCTGTTATATTAGTCCATTTACATATATCCTAAAGTTATACGTAAGATAAAGATTTTTTTTTTTTTTTTTTTTTTTTTTTTTAATACTTTTTTTACAATTTAGGATTTTTGACAGAGGCGTAATGATAAATAAGTATTATGTCTCAAAATAAAACTCATAACTTATGTGAAAATTACAAATAAACTACCGTTTACGATTGAACAAGTGTATTGAACATGTGTAATGAAAAATAAAAATGTTATAAAACATTAAATTACCATTCGCTACATCAGATTACCTACTTGTGACTTTTAAAAGCCTAACAATGTATGCTTAATGATTAACAGAAAAAAATTTTCAAGAATTTTTGTCAAATATTACTCACTGAGATAAATTTACCAACCTACTCAAGATTATTGTTTTAGTATTCAAATGAAAAAAATCATATCTACTATTTTATAATCATTTTCCCTGGCAAACTTTATAGATTTCATCCGTTATTTCATTTTCATTGCGCCGATAAAGAATCTTAATTTTTATTTTGAGCTACATAATACTATTTACATCGTATTTGCTAAATAATTTTAATTTATGAAAATTAAAATATATATTTTTATAAATTTATGATAAAATCGATGGAATACAAAAATTATATATAAAATAGGATACGCGAATGTTTGAGTAACACTTTAAATAAAAATAACCAGCATAATATTATCCAAGTTTATCCCACAATAACAATTGTTTACTTTATTAAATTACTCATATAACACTAAATAACTATTTCGTTTTATTATTTTCGAGGTATTTCGTTATAAAATTCAACTACTCATACATAGTACCGAGTGTAAGAGCAAAATGAATTTTAAATAAGTTTTGAATTTCTAATAATTTTTAATATTTTTCTTTGGAATTTTAATTTTTCTCTAATCGTTTAAACCATCTCGAATAACTCCGGTCGAATATTAAAACGAGATTGAAACAATTGGGATGCAGTAAACTTATTAATGCTGCCTTATGTTCGTGTTAATCGCCACTGACTCTTCGACAGCCTAACTGTCATTATTATTCTAATATAATTATTCATCGATTAATTATGACAAATATTATCCTCATTCGACTTTGCTAATTGATGGCGCGCAGGCATAAAGTTATTTCTGCAATCCGTTTAGATCGAGTAAATGTAGGAGCTACCATTCGATTAAATACGATTAGTTAATAAATTCGTTCTACATAAAAAGTGTGCGAAATGGCTGTATGAGAAAAGGATAGAATGCTGAGGCAAGTAAATTAGCTGTCGCTAGGATAGAGTCCAGTATCAATGTCCCCAGTAAAGAATTTAAATTGGACTAATGAATTTGCCGAGCAAATAAAGGCACCGCATCCTTTCTCTGTTACAGTGATCAATGTAAGGAGCCCTTGCTGCAGGGCACCAAGCAGCAGCAGCAGCAGCAGCAGCAGCAGCAGCAGCAGCAGCAGCAGCAACTGGAACAGTCGTATCAAGCCACAACGATGTCCCAGCACCCGCAGATAGCGCGAATGACGCCGACAGGGGGCAGGTCGCGAACCTGCTCGGAGTCGAACGTCGGGGCCCACGCGTCTCTCACCCTCGGGTGCCCGAGCTGCTCGGGGAGCATCGCCGCCCTCCACCACGTCTCGACGACGATATCTCCCCACGGCGAGGACTCGACGAGCCTGCTCGAGGAGGTTGGCGCCACAAGACTCCCCGACCTCGTCGCCGAGAGCAAGATCTACGACGAGACGCAGGAGCCCCTCGAGTCCTATCTCGCGATCACGATACAAGTCTCCATACCCTTCCTCATAGCCGGCCTCGGTATGGTCGGTGCAGGACTCGTCCTCGACCTCGTTCAGGTGCGTCCAATAATTGAACGATCGAAGGCCAACGGTAAGCGGAGATCGGCCATTTAAACGACAAACGCGACCTCCTGCTAGTTTTAAAGAAAATGCAATATTTATTGGCATTGATTATTAGCTCAGGAGACTCCGAAGCTCGTGTTTACTGATCTCCGGGATGCTATTGAGTGGCAGAGATTTTGACTTTGTAACGAGATTCTTAGAATTCAATGGGAATAATGATCTTAGGGAGTAACCTCGAGGTTAATCATTGTTTGCATAGACCCTGATTATACGATCAGATCATATAATTAAATGGCCGAATAATTGTCTAATGGAAATGTCCTTTCCGTCAAAAGGAGAAAATACAATGTTTTTCGCTCAAAGTTACCGATTAACTTAGAACCGATTAATTTCTTAATATTTGGGTGTAACTTAATTGACATTAAATTTCAATCGCTTTACTTACAAAATATATTCAACTACAAAATAAATAATCACGAGTTGCAATCGTATAACTGCACATGATGCACAATAATTTTATCATAAGACTAAATCGATGAAATTTTAAAAGTCCAAAATACATATACATTAATGTACAATTTAATTGTGATTTCATACATAAACTAGCTGAATTCAAAATAATTCTATAATTATAATTTCTCATCTCACGTACTTCTCTCCTAATATATTACGATAATGATGTCATAACAAAAAATCTCTGTCCATATAATAGTAGGTTCATGGAATTATTAAAATCAATTTGTTGATAATGTAATGTAAGAGAGTAGTGACATTCATTTACATTGTTCTTTGTATTATAGTACTGGGTTGTTTTCGAAAAAGTCAACGAGCTCATGATTCTGGTACCAGCGCTTTTAGGCTTGAAGGGCAATCTGGAAATGACGCTGGCGTCAAGATTATCCACACAAGCAAATCTTGGTCACATGGACACACCCAAGCAGCAGTGGTACATGATCGTTGGAAATCTTGTTTTGATTCAAGTAATTATTTACTTAATATCTACTAAAATGCATTCAGTAAAAACTGCCATTATATAAATTGAAATTTATTAGCTAGGCGACTTGAAAATTATTCTGAAATAAATATCGCCGATAATTGGATATATGGAAAGGTTTAGCGGCTCAGCGGGATCTCTTATGTAATATGATATTTTATATAGCAAGCATGAAACGTTGCTCGTAGAAGAAATTAAGTTTACAAATAATAGAAATTTATGCAGAATAAACATCAATAAATTATTATAAAGGTTCTGATAAAGTAATTACTATTTTTACAATTTAACGTCGTTTTTTTCTAATCGTATTTCAATAAAAAGAAAAAAAAATGAAAAGAAATTCTTGATTTAAGATATTTAAACATTCTATAATCGTTGTACTGAAGTTTCAGAAGGACTTTCTTGTGGTTTTTTTTTTTTTTTTTTTTTTTTTTTTTAATTTTGAAAAAAATGTATGAAGAAAAAATGTATACTTCTATTAGATATTAAATATTAATTTATACTAAATGTATATAAAAAAAAAAAAAAAAAAAAAAAAAAAATTAAATT